GAAGTCTACGACGACTTCGACGGAGGTTGTGGCTCTGCGGACGATCGCGCCAGCGACAAAGTTGACCCCGGACATGTTGCACGCGCGGCTTGCGCACGTCGGCGTCGACACAATCAAGAGCCCCGTGAAGAATGAGGTCGCTACCGGTCTGGACATCAAGAAGTCGACCACAGATGATCTGCCGTGTACCTTCTGCGTCGGCGGCAAGCTTGCACGGCACACCTTCCCCGACCAAGGATCGGACGCCAAGAACGCGCTCGATGTGGTGCACATCGACCTCTGCGGACCGTTACGGGTGGCCGCCAAAGATAGGAAGACTCGCTACGTGTGGGTGAGGCCTATCGCGAAGAAGAGCGACGTGCTGGTCGTCTTCGAAAAGTGGCTGAAGGTGGTGGAGAGGCAGACTTCGAAGACGGTGAAGATGTTGCGTTCTGACCGCGGAGGGGAATTCCTCGGTCGAGCCTTCACCGACCTCGTCGAAGACAAGGGTATCCTCCACAATCTGACGTGCCCCTACACTCCGCAGCAGAACGACATGGCAGAGCGGGAGATGCGCACGGTCGTCGAGGCCGTGCGTACGATGCTTCTGCACATGGGCGTGAAGCATCACTGGTGGCACCTCGCTCTGCGACAGGCCGTCGGGGTGCGCAACTGCCTCGAGCGTGCTTCTCTGCCAAAGGGGACGACGCCTCACGAGCTGCTGTTCGAGAAGAAGCCGGATCTTACGCTAGCGCGGCGGGAAGTTGGCGCCGAAGGCCCGTTGGGGTCTTCACCTCGGAGTGTCGGCAGAGAGCAAGGGCTGGGAGGTGCTCGACTTGACGGACAACAAGGTCGTCACGACGGTCGAAGCGATCTTCTACGAGAACTTGTCGATGGAGATGTGGAAGGTGGAGTACGGACCGGCGTCGACGAGGACGCCCTCTACCCTGCCAACCGATTCCTCCTCGGTGCACCCTCCACTGCTCACCGCGGACGACGAGCTTGATGAGGACGACGCAGACGACGTCACCACCTCCCTCCCTCCCCCTGTGCAGGGATCCTCGTCGACCGCCGGCGATGAGGGGGGACTCGGTGCGTCGCCTGCGGCGCCGACCGGTTGCATCGCCGGTGGCTGACGTGACGCCGAGAAGGTCAGCAACGGGAAGCGGCAGACGACAAGGGAGCCGTCGAAGAAGACCGCAGAGAAGCCATTGGCAGAGGCGCCGACCGCAGAGAAGCAGTCGGCAGAGACGCCAACCGCAGAGAAGCCGTCGGCAGAGGCACCGACCTCAGGGGAGCAGTCGGCAGAGGAGCTGCCGACATGGGAGCAGTTCGACGACGACTCGTCGAGCGATGTTGTGGAAGTCGTCGGTGCGGCCGGCGACGATGAAGGGGAGCTATCGGCAGGAGAGCAGTCAGAGGACAGTGACGTGGTGGAGGTTCCGGTCGAAGAAGTGAAGCAGCGGCATTCTACCCGCTCCAACTTCGGCAAGCCGCCTGAGAAGCTGAGCTACCACACTTGTGTGCCGCCGACCGCCTACAGCACTCTGCTCGACGACGCAGAGGACGACGTCAATCTGCCCAAGCTCGACCCCGACATGCACGCCGATCCAGAGCATCGCTGGAACATCGCCAACATGACGGTGAAGGAGGCATTGGCGAGCTGGAAGGGCAAGGCGGTGAAGGCCGCCATGGACGAGGAAATCAAGAGCCTCATCTCCAATGGGACGTGGGAGCTTGTTGAGCGTCCGCGCGGTGTCAACGTGATGAAGAATCGTTGGGTACTTACAACGAAATACCACGTCGACGATACGGTCGCCCGCGAGAAGGCGCGTCTGGTGGTGAAGGGCTTCACGCAGATCTACGGCGCAGACTACGACGGAACGTACGCGCCGGTGGGGAGCTACGTTACTCTGCGGATCTTCCTCAGCATCGTTGCGGTCCTCGACCTGCATCTGATGCAGCTGGACATGAAAAACGCGTTTCTGCAGAGCAAGCTGGATCGCGTCCTCTACATGAACCAGCCCGACCACTACAACGACGGAACCGGTCGCGTCTGCAAGCTGCTGAAGAGCTTGTACGGACTGAAGCAGAGTCCACTGCTGTGGTACTCGGCGCTCGACGCGGTGCTGATCGATGCCGGTTGGAGCAAGAGCCAGGTAGACGAAGCGCTCTACTTCAAGGTCGGCGACGACGGAGTGACGTGCTGGGTGCTCGTCTACGTCGACGATCTGCTCGCCGCAAGCAGCAGCACTGCGATGCTGAAGGAGCTGAAGGAGCTGCTGGAGGCCGCCTTCGAGCTGCGCGAAATCAGCCCGGTCGAGAAGTATCTTGGGCTGGAAATCGTGCGCGACCGTCCTGCGCGGAAGCTGTGGCTTCACCAGCAAGTCTACGTCGACAAGCTGCGTCGGCGCTTCATCGACGAGGAGCAGACCGGTCGAGTGCCGAAGACGCCGGTCTCCGTCGACGCCTATGCAGAACTGGTGTTCGACGACGAGGAGTTTCAGTTGCGCGAGGAAGCAGAGTATCGACAGAAGGTCGGCTCGCTGCAGTTCGCGGCCACCACGACGAGGCCCGACATTGCCTTCGCTTGCAGCAAGCTCGGATCCGGCCTGACAGTGCGGAGCTACAACCACTGGCGTGAGGTCGATCGCTGTCTGCACTACCTCGCTGAAACTCGTGACGCCGCTCTGGAGTTCGGCGGCGGACCAGAGTCGCTGTGTCTGGTCGGCTATGCAGATGCCGACGGCGCTGGCGACAAACAGAATCGGACGAGCACGGGCGGCTACGTTTTCGTTTTCGGAGGAGCCGCAGTCTCCTGGTCGAGCCAGCGCATCAAGTGCGCGACACTTTCGTCGATCGAATCAGAGTACGTTGCGGCCACGAAAGCTGGCAAGGAGGCTCGCCGTCTGCGCTTCCTCCTTGCAGAGTTCCGTCTGCTCGACGCACGGAAGCCGACTGTTCTGCACGTGGACAACCAGTCGGCAATCACTATCGAAGAAGGCTTGGGGCTCAAGGGCAACCTCAAGCACATGGAGCGACGCTACGCATGGCTGCAGCAGATGGTGAAGCACGGGAAGATTGCTCTGCAGTACATCCCGACCACCGAGCAGCCGGCAGATTTTCTGACGAAGGCGCTGCATTTTCCGGCTTTCAACTGGTGCTCCGTTGCAATCGGCCAAGTGCGTCTGGCCAACGTGGGCGATGGGGATGACGAGGTGCAGCAGTAGGTGCCGTGCCCTTCTGCACGGCTGGTGCGGTGATCTACGTGCTATGTGTTGGGTGCACGCAGAAGGAATTTTCTCCTTGTATTCTATCCCTCTGGGTTCTGGGTGGACCTTGTGTGTGGGTGCCCAAGCGTGAGCTGGGCAGGGGAGTGTCGAAGAGAAAGGCCCCGCCCTCGCTTGGGCGCAGCCGATCTCGCCGTCGACGAGAAGTTCGCGACGGATTGGTCGACGAAATGGGCTTCTGCAGTTCGACGGAAGTTGCGGTCGAGCAGGCTCTGCTCGACAAGATCCGGTCGACGAGCTCTGCGCGATGAACTCTGGTCGGCGATCTCTGCGCGACAAGCTCCCGTCGAAGAGCGCTGGTCGACGATCGTGGTCGAGGAACTCTGGTCGAAGAGTTCGGGTCGAGGAACCCTGGTCGAAGAGTTCGGGTCGAGGAGCTCTGCTCGGCGAACGCTGTTCGACCGAGCGATGTTGAGCTGATCGACCGAAGTTGCAGAGTTGTGCGAAACTCTGCGGAGGCGTGCGAACTTTCGCCCAGGAGATTTTGGCGAAGTTCTACCTGCGGAACGGCAGAACGTGCTCGACGGTGCGCACCTGGCGAAATCGACGAGCACGTTTTCTACCTGGCACCTGCGCAATGTGCCTGACGGTGAAATCGCCAACCTGCACCTACTTGGTAGGTGCGCACATCTGCGCAGATAGACAACCTGCGACTGCAGATAGTTACCTGCGACTGCAGATAGTCACCTGCGACTGCAGTGCTGGCAGACCGCGTGCAGTGCAACGTTGGCAGACAACTCTGCTGCAACGTTGGCAAGCCGCTCTTCTGCTGCGCTGGCAGATTTCGCCCTTGCTAGGTGTTGCATGCCATTCTAGTCTCTATCATTCTGCATGCCTCAATTGTACTATCAACTTTTCAATGCAAGTTGTTCTTTTCCTTAGTGGAATTCTTGCCAAACTTTTGTGTGAACACAAGCAAGTAGTAAGAACGTTAGCGCAGAGCTACGATCACTTGCACAACCCCGTGCCCTCCACCGTAGTCCACTCCCGTTGTGTAGTGACTCTCCGCAATGCGTGCATGAATGGACTGTTGCAGTGGCACACCGAAGAGACCTCGTACCAGCTGAACCAAACTAAAACAAATACCTGCGGCTGTACTAAGAAAAAATATAATTACTACCTTGGGGGAGGGAGGTCTAATGGGTGTGACAGAGAGCAGTGAAAAGGGAGTGTAGAGCATGGTGCGAGCCTAGGTTGGCATAAACGCGTTTGGCGTATATACGCGTTTAGTATATACGCCAGCGTTTGCACGCTAAACGTTAGAGGGGTCAGATCAAGGATACGCAATTCTGGGCAGGAAAAAAACTTTCCCGGGCAGGGTAAAAAAACCCTCCCGAGGTTGGGTCCAGAGTGGTTTCGTGCAAGATGTTTGTCCGTTTTTTTTTTCTTCCCCATAATAAAATTAGCAGTGCCATACAAATCCAGTAACATGTCATATTAGTCTCTCCCTACTACTACCCACCCTCCTCCCCCTTCCCTTCGTTAACCACTACTCATACTCGTCCTCCAATATGTCGTCCTCACCCTCCTCCTCCATCTCATCCAGCATATTGTAACCTTCGGGGATGGGGGGCTCCGGCTCATTCCCACACACAACTGACATCCTTGCGTGTGTGCCAGTTGCGCACAACCTTCTAGTTGTGCGCAACAAACACCAAATTCACACACTTGGCGGATCCTAAGCGGTTCCTGCGGGCAGTGTGGACGGAATCCCACACTGCCCAACCACGCTCACAGGGTGAAGTTGAGACGGGCTGCGAGAGAACCCGGATGGCGAGGGACGCAAGGCGGGGGGCATCTGTCCCGTTCCAATGCCACCACTTCACCATGCTGTAAGTGCCCGCCTTCACCTTCTCCCTTTGTGCCACAGCCTCTGCCATCCCGAAACTCCCCTTCATGTCCAAGAAATCCCTCAGCCCGTCCCCCCAACTCAACCAAGTAATCGCAGGCCCCATCCCCCCCCTTCCCGTCGTGGCCGACGAGGAACTCTGCATGCTGGTGAAGGAACACTTTGAAAATCCGCGTGCATTCGGCGTCGCTGCCGAAGATGTCTTCTTCCACCACGTGGATTCGCCGCGTGCATTCGGCGTTCGCGGGGTTGAGGATGCGGGCCGCCACGTGCATGGCGCACGCGAGGCTCTCGTCCCACCGGTTTTTGAGGATGCGGCGGATCTGCTGCTTCTCGCTATAGCACAACTGTTCCTCATCCGCGTCCACGAGAGCCCCAACGTCCTCCGTCATCACGTCGTAGATCCTGGCCATCATCCCTTTTGCCTCCCGTTCGTCATGCGCATCGCCTTGAAAGGGAGCTTCAGCAGCTTGGTGAAAAACTCGGCAGTTTTCCACCAAGCTGAGTCGAGTACCAACGCGGCGAACCCCTCCGCAGCCGCCTTCCGCGAGCCAGCAGCCCACACCTTCCACTCGTCGCTGAGGACCATCTGTGTAAGGGAGGGGCGGAGCTGACAGAGACGTGAGATAGCGATGTATTGGGTCCCAAAGCGGGTCCCCGCAGGTTTCAACGCTGCAACACCTTCCCCTCCACCAACTCCGGGTTCCGCAAGTAACCGCGCGTCCAATGGTGGTTGCGGGTGAAGGAAATCATCTCTGCACCACGGTCAACCACCTTTTTGGACCACCCCATTTTCCTCACGTCCTCCATCAGCAGGTCCATGACGTGGGTGGCACAAGGAACCTGCTGAATGTGGGGCCACATCTCAATCAGCTGTTGGCACGCCGCCGCGTAGTTGGAACCCCCATCCATACAGAACGCGACGATGTTCTCAGGTCCCACTTCCTCCACGACGGGTTTCAGTAACCCCGCGACATATCCCCCTGTCTTCTTCTCCATGTTGCAGTCCACACACTCCTTCAGGATGGCACCCGCGTCGTTGACGAGGAGGACATTTGCCTGCGGCCAGCCACACTTGTCCGTCATCATGCCGGACGCGATGGTAACACCCGTCTTCTTCCAGCTAGCCTTGATCCCCATCAAGCCGTTCTCAATACCCTTTTGGCAAGCAAGCAGTCCGGCCCTGCCAATGTACTTCCGACGTGGGGGAACGTAGCCGCCACCGGCGCGGGTGACGAGGTGCATAGAGTTGACGAAGAGCGGATGGTCGATGAGGTTCTCCGGGAGGCGAAATGCGGCAAACATGAGCGCAAGGCCTTCATGTGCTTCACGTTTTGCCGCAGCAGTGTCGCCCTCCAGGTAGTCGGTCATGCGGGCCCGTTTACCACCAGCTTTGACCCAGGCAATATCAGCCAACACCGCTCTCTGCTTCTCTTCTGTCGCAGCAGCATGCGCCTCGTACTTGTTGTGCATCTCGAGGCGAACATCAGAAGGTGCCTCTTTGCAAAGCGCCACCTCGCAGCGCTTCATCTGGAAAGACACTGAACATCAGCATGTGTTCTCCTGGCGGCACCTGGAAAGACACTGAAGCAGTACTTGCACTCATACTGCTAAGCCTTGCACTCCTCGCGCTTGATGATACTGAAGTGCTTAAAGACGTCGTGGACTACATCGGGAAGGTCTGGACGAACCCTAGCACTCTCCACTGTCTGAACGGAAGGCGGCGTGAGAGGCGGACTGCGGAGAGTCACTCGACAACGGTAGTGAGCTAGACTACGGGGGTTGGCACGAACTACTAGGAGTGATCGTAGCTTTGCTTAGTTCCTTAGTGCTTGCGCATACACTGGAGAAATCGGCAAGAGTTTCACTAGGCAAAGTTGGAATTACAGAATGATTGAGTTCACAATGACAAGAATGACTACATCAGGCATCTAGCAACTCGGCAGCTAGCCTGGTCGACCGCCAGCACAGCTTGGTCGACCGCCTGCCAGCATTGCGTAGAGGAGCCGTGCCAGCACTGCAGAAAGGCGACCTGCCAACACTGCAGGTCGACGGCGTGCCAACGCCGCAGCAGAGCGGCTGTCCAGCGTTGCTCCGTAGAAGACAACAGTGCGCACGCTCGCAGGTCCGCGCAGACGACTGGCCCGACTTGCACCGGTGTGCATCCGTCGGCTGTTGTCTGCGCCTGACGAGCCACATCGACTTTGGGATACCAACCCGAAGTCGCCTTCGCCATCGCGACCTCGACGACGTTCGCGTGCCTCCGCATAACTCGTCGAGCAGGTTACCCGGTCGACCTGGTCGACCACCAAGTGCTCTGGTCGACCACCACTGCCTCTGGTTGACCACCAGGTGCCTCTGGTCGACCACAGCTCTTGTCGAGCTACCCCCTGGTCGACGGACCCCTTCCGTCGACCGGAACTGTCAGCTGTTGTCGCCGAGCTCCCCTCGTCGACCGCTGCTCACTTGTCAGGTCGACGGACTGCTCCGTCGACCTCCCCGGTCGAACTGCTCCTCCTGGTCGACGGCCCACCTGTCGCCCAACCCAGTCATGTGCAGGTCGACAGCCACCTCGTCGACCTGCCCCGCAGAAGACGGCCGTCGAGCACTCCTGGTCGACGGCAACACCACAGTGAACCCTTGCAGCTCGACGAGGCCCGTCGAGCAGCTCCTTCACTGCGTACAGTCGGCTGCTTCTCCCGTACATCCGACCAAGTCGTCGGTGTTGCCCAAGCGAGGGCGGGGCCAACACTCCACTCCCGTTAACACTCCCCTGCCGCGCTCACGCTTGGGCCTCCAGTCCCCGTCGCCGACGTCGGCCAGACGAACTTGGCCGATAGCGACAATCGCTCCATGTGCTTGAGGTTGCCCGTCAGCCCCAAGCCCTCCGCGACCGTGATCGCCGACTTGTTGTCCACGCGGAGGACGGTCGGCTTCCCAGCGTCGAGCAGCTTGAACTCTGCTAAGAGGAAGCGAAGTCGACGCCCCTCCTTGCCGGCGTCCGTGGCCGCGACATACTCTGACTCGGTCGAGGAGAGCATCGCGCACTTGATGCGCTGGCTCGACCAGGAGACCGCGGCCCCTCCAAAGACGAACACGTAGCCGCTCGTGCTCGTCCGGTTCTGCTTGTCGCCCGCATCATCGGCGTCCACGTAGCCGATCAGCTCCAGCGACTCTGGTCCACCGCGGAACTCCAGGGCGGTGTCGCGGTTGTCGGCGAGGTAGGCGAAGCAGCGGTCGACCTCGCGCCAATGCTGGTCGCTCCTCACCGTGAGGCCGCCCCCCAGCTTGCTGCAGGCGAACGCGATGTCCGGCCTCATCGTCGTCGTCGCGAACTGCAGCGAGCCGACCTTCTGCCGGTACTCCTCCTCCTCGTGCTCCTGGGCCTCCTCGTCGTCGAACGTCAGCTCAGCGTAGGCGTCGACCGAGACCGGCGTCTTCGGGACTCGACCGCCCTGCTCCTCGTCGATGAAGCGCCTGCGCAGCTTGTCGGCGTAGTTCTGCTGGTGCAGCCACAGCTTCCTCGCCGGCCTATCGCGCACGATCTCCAGCCCAAGGTACTTCACCACCGGCGAGATCTCACGCAGCTCAAAGGCGGCCTCCAGCAGCTCCTTCAGCTCCTTCAGCATCACGGTGCTGCTGCTAGCGGCGAGCAGGTCTTCGACGTAGACCAGCACCCAGCAGGTCACTCCGTCGTCGCCAGCCTTGAAGTAGAGCGCCGTGTCGACCTGGATTTTCTTCCAGCCACCGCCCAGCAACACACTGTCGAGAGCCCTGTACCACAGCAGCGGCGACTGCTTCAGCCCGTAGAGGCTCTTCAGCAGCTTACACACCCGGCCGGTCCCATCGTCGAAGTAGTCCGGCTGGTACATGTAGAGCACCCTGTCGAGCTTGCTCTGCAGGAAAGCGTTCTTCATGTCGAGCTGCATCAGGTTGAGGTCGAGGACGGCGACGATGCTGAGGAAGATCCTCAGTGTGACGTAGCTGCTCACCGGCGAGTACGTCTCGTCGTAGTCGGCACCGTACTTCTGCGTGAAGCCCTTCACGACTAGCCTCACCTTCTCGCGCTGGACGGTGTCGTCGATGCGGTACTTGGTCGTCAGCACCCACCGCTTCTTCATGATGTTCACCCCGCGTGGGTGTTCGACCAGCTCCCAAGTGCCCATGCCGATGAGGCTCTGGATCTCTTTTTCCATGGCGGCCTTCACCGCCTCGCCCTTCCAGCTCGCCAGCGCCTCCTTCACCGTCATCGTGGCGATGTCCCAGCGGTGTTCGGGGTCGGGATGCACGTCGGGGTCGAGCTCCGGCAGTTCTTTATCCTCCTCGGCGTCGTCGTACAACAGGTCGTCGTCAACCTCGTTGTACACTGTGGTGAAAGCAGCTGGCGGTAGGCAGGCGTGGAAGCTCAGCCGCTCCAGCGGCCGTCGAGCTCGACTTGTGCGTCGCAGCTCAGGCTTCGTGATCAGCACCTCCACCACGTCGCTGTCGGTGGACTCCTCACCCGCCGACTGCTCCCCTTCCTCGTCGACGTCCTCGTCGTCGACTAGCTGTTTCGATCCTTCGACCGGCTGCTCACTACCTGCTGACTTCGACAGCTCCCCTGTCGACCGCCCCGTCTGCTACTCCCATGTCGACTGCACCCCTGCTGCTGCCTCCTGTTCGACCGGCTCCCCTGTCTGCTGCTCCCCTGTCGTCAACGGCCTTCGGTCCTGGTCGACGAGCTTGGCGCCTTGTCGACCGCCGGCGATGCCACTGGCCGGCGCCACAGGCGACGCCTCATCGCCGGTGGCCGACAAAGGCAGCGACACAGGCCGATCTGCGACGGGGGAGGGAGGAGCAAGAACAGGGGAAGGTGGAAGAACCTTCAGAACATCCTCATCAGTAGGCTCGGCGACTTCAGCGAGCAGTGGAACCATCGCTGTCGAGGTGTCCGTCGGCGGGTGTGCCTGCGTCCGCCCCGACGCCGGCCCATACTTCGCCTTCCACACCTCCAGCGACAGCGTCTCGTAGAAGATCACCTCGACCGACGTGACCACCTTTTTGTCGGTCAGGTCGAGCACCTCCCAGCCCTTGCTCTCCGGCGACACACCCAGGTGAAGCCCCCAACAAGCCTTCGGCGCGAGCTTCCCACCGCGCTGCTGCTCGGGAACCATGAACTGCACCATGCAGCCCCACACCCGTGCCAGCGTGAGGTCGGGCTTCTGCCCGGTCAGCAGCTGGTACGGAGTCGTCCCCGGCGGCGTTGTCGACCGCTCCAAGCAGTTGCGCACCCAGACATCTTGGCGTAGAGCGAGGTGCCACCAGTGGTGCTGCACGCCCATGTGCAGCAGCATCGTCCGCACGGACTCGACGACCGTGCGCATCTCCCGCTCAGCCATGTCGTTTTGCTGCGGAGTGTAAGGGCACGTCAGGTCGTGGACGATGCCCTTCCCGTCGACGAAGTCGGTGAACGCCTTCCCGAGGAACTCCCCCCCTCGGTCTGAGCAAAGCGACAGCACCGACTTCTTCGTCTACCGTTCCACCAGCACCAGACACTTCTGAAACTCCCGCAGCACATCGCTCTTCTTGGCGACCGGCATTGTCCACACGAACCGAGTGTGGCGATCCTTCAGCAGCAGGAAGTACAAGCTGCCATCCTTGGCAGCCACCCGGAATGGCCCGCACAAGTCAATGTGCACGACAGCCAGTGCTTCCTCGGCGTCCGAGCCCTTGGCGGGGAAGGTGTGCCGCGCCAGCTTTCCTTCGATGCACGAGACACACGGCGGGTCTGCTCCGGTCGATGGCGTGATGTCGAGCCCAGTAGCGACTTCATGCTTCGCCGAGCTCTGGATCGTGTCGACGCCAACGTGCGCGAGCCTTGCATGCAGCCGGCCACGGGTCGACGTGGTCGCCGAGACGATCGTCCGCAGAGCCACCACCTCAGTCGACGGCGACCGCATCGAGCAGGGGCGAAGGTCGGTGCAGAGGACTCGACCGGTGTAGCGTGCTCGACTGAGCACCTCCCCGGTCGCGGCGACGAGCAGCATCTCGTCGCCGTCGCCCTGCAGCTGCACTCCGCTCTCCTTCAGCTGGCCAGCAGACAGCAGGTTCGCCTGTACGCCCAGAACGTATAGTGCGTTGGGGATGAGGACCTGCTTCCCGGCCTCCCCTTGCAGAGCGACGGTTCCGCGACCCTCGACGGGTTGCAGCGCCCCGTTGAACCCACGCACGTGCTTTACACCATCGCTCGGCGCCATGTCGACGAAGACCGCCTTCGTCCCCATCAGGTGGTGGGAGCAACCGCTATCGAGCAGCACCGCCACCAGGTTTGCCTGCACAGCTTCCGCCACCGCCTGGAAGTCCTTGCCAGCCTCCGGCGCCAGCGAGACCGTCGGCTCCACCACGGCGACCATCGAGCACGACGCCTCCCCGTCGCCTCGGCCCTTGCCTCTGGAGTTGTCGACGTCCTTCGTCGACGACGTCTTCTTCGACGTCTGCTTCTCCTTGCGCGGCTTCTCATCTGGACGGGGGCGACGACTGGCCGATCGACAGCGTCCTCCCTTGTGGTCGTCCTCGTCGCTGTCGTCATCCAGATGAGAAGAGGATGATGATGGCGGTTCGCCATCATCATCCTCTTTATAAGGTTTGTGACGACCACAAGGGAGACCACGGGGCATTCGTAGGAGAGATGGTCGGGGTCGTGGCATATCCAGCACTCCCGCCGTCGACCTCCACCTCCTCGGCCCTTGTCCCGCGTCGACCTCTTCTCTTTGACATCCTTCGTCGACCGCCCATCTCCGCTACCACCTCCGCCCGGCTTCCCGCGCTGCTCCTGCTGACGATTCGGCTTCGTCGGTGCAGCGTAACTCGCCTGCGGAAGGAGCTCCGTGGGCTGGTCTGCCTCCTGCATAGCCTCGTCTTGCAGGATGTAGTTGGTGATGGAGTCCTCGTCGAGGGACTCACGCGTGCCGGGCACCATCATCATCCTCTTCATGAGGTTCTAGCTGCGCGGTAAGCCCTTGACGATGTGGGTGATGTAGGACGCCGTCGAGTATTCGGCTCCCGCCATCCTCATCTCAGCCAGGATCCGTCGAGCACGGTTGCAGTAGTCCATCGCCGACTCCTGCTCGCCCATCTGAATGTGCGTCATCTTCTCCTCCAGATGTCCGATGTACAGGTCGTCCCTGACCTGGTACGTCGACAGGATGAAGTGCCATGCCTGGTGACCAGCATCCAGTCGCTCTTGACATCTCCTGAGTGCTAGCTGCACCACCGGCGAGCAGCACCTCGAGATGACCATGAAGGTGAGCAGGTGAGCAGCACGAAACTCCCCGCGCAGCTCGACATCGTCCACGGGCGGAATCGGTACGGTGCCGTCAGCGAAGCCCTTCAGGCCGACGACCTCCAGCTGAGGTTCTATCGACTCCATCCAGGTGATGAGGTCCCGTCGACCTTGCAGCGGTGCGACGGTGATCCGGTCTGGCGAGAACTTGAAGTAGCCATACGCCAGTGCAATTCCGCCCGCCGTCACGTGCGTCGTCGCCGAGAGCCCTCCACCGCTTCGTTGAGGAGATCAACGTCGACCATCGACGTAGGCACGCGAGCTGCCTGCAGCCGCCGTCGACCGCTGCACTCGCGCCTGAATCCTGTCGACGCCACCGTCGACCTTGATCACCCCTCTCTGTTTCGTGCCTTCGCTGCCGCTGACTTGTGCACCGACGTCGACCTCGTCGTCGACGCCACCTTCGTTTCGCACCGGTCGAGGAGATGCAGGACGGGAAGGGTGCTCTGTCGCCCACTGCGCCCGGATGCCCAACTCAGCGATCGCCCAGAGGATCGTCCCGTACTCGCCATCCGCGTGGCGTTTCCTCGCATCAGCCAAACGTGCCTCCAAGGTGTCCGCTACGCCCGCATCAACTACGGGGTCGACCATGGCGACTAACGCTGCTGCCGGCCTACGAACGACTTAGTAGGTGCAAAAGTCGGCTCCTATCTGAAGGTAATCTGCGGGGCCGTCCACGCTCACCGCACCATGCGGAGAGTCACTCGACAACGGTAGTGAGCTAGACTACGGGGGTTGGCACGAACTACTAGGAGTGATCGTAGCTTTGCTTAGTTCCTTAGTGCTTGCGCATACACGGGAGAAATCGGCAAGAGTTTCACTAGGCAAAGTTGGAATTACAAAATGATTGAGTTCAGAATGACAAGAATGACTACATCAGGCACCTAGCAACTCTGCAGCTAGCCTGGTCAACCGCCAGCACAGCTTGGTCGACCGCCTGCCAGCGTTGCGTAGAGGAGCCGTGCCAGCACTGCAGAAAGGCGACCTGCCAACACTGCAGGTCGACGGCGTGCCAACTCTGCAGCAGAGCGGCTGTCTAGCGTTGCCTGGTAGAAGACAACAGTGCGCACGCTCGCAGGTGCGCGCAGACGATTGGCCTGACTTGCACCGGTGTGCATCCGTCGGCTGTTGTCTGCACCTGACGAGCCACATCGACTCTGGGATACCAACCCGAAGTCACCTTCGCCATCGCGACCTCGACGACGTTCGCGTGCCTCCGCAAAACTCGTCGAGCAGGTTACCCAGTCGACCTGGTCGACCACCAAGTGCTCTGGTCGACCACCACTGCCTCTGGTCGACCACCAGGTGCCTCTGGTCGACCACCAGGTGCCTCTGGTCGACCACAGCTCCTGTCGAGCTACCCCCTGGTCGACGGACCCCTTCCGTCGACCGGAACTGTCAGCTGTTGTCGCCGAGCTCCCCTCGTCGACCGCTGCTCACTTGTCAGGTCGACGGACTGCTCCGTCGACCTCCCCGGTCGAACTGCTCCTGCTAAACGACGGCCCACCCATCGCTCAACCCAGTCAGCTGCAGCTGTCGAGCTCCCTGGTCGACGGCTCCAGCCCCGTGACAGTCCTGTGCAGGTCGACAGCCACCTCGTCGACCTGCCCCGCAGAAGAGGGCCGTCGAGCACTCCTGGTCGACGGCAACACCACAGTGAACCCCTGCAGCTCGACGAGGCCCGTCGAGCAGCTCCTTCACTGCGTACGGTCGGCTGCTTCTCCCGTACATCCGACCAAGTCGTCGGCGTTGCCCAAGCGAGGGCGGGGCCAACACTCCACTCCCGTTAACACGAACTGGTGGCCATAATCGCAATGAGGCTAGTTGTTGGTAGCGGGAGAGGGAAACTTAATGGGATGGATGTTTTGACGAGTTGATAAATAGCATGACGGGTGGTGGGAGATTGAGCAGGAATGGTTGGACTGAAAGAATGCTGTGGGTTTGAATGCGGTAAAGGATTGGGATAGAAATGTAAAAACGTGCAAACACGACTCGATGTACGTGACCATGCATGTGTGAACGTGCAACATGTGAAAGTGAAATCGCAACAGCAGGACATGAATCCAATTTCCTGCAACCCTAGACCTCGGACGTGCAATCTGACGTCGCAGCATTGCTCGCCGTGCCATTCCGCATCTTTTGGTGTGTTTGAAAAAAATTGGGTCGGGCGGGCTGCCCCAAAAAAATATGGGTCGCGTATAGCGTTTTCGCTAGCGTTTCGCGTATTGCGTGTACACGCTAGCGTATGAGCGCTGAACGCTAAGGCCCCTTAGCGTATATTCCAACTTAGACCCACACTGCACACACACACTGCACATACACACTGCACACACACACTGCACATACACACTGCACACACACACTGCACACACACACTGCACACACACACTGCACACACATATACTACACACCCACACTGCACACCCACACTGCACACACACACTGCACACACACACTACACACATACATACACTGCATACACACACTGCACACACACACTGCACACACACACTGCACACACACACTGCACACACACACTGCACACACACACTGCACACACACATTGCACACACACACACTGCATACACGCATACACACCCCATCCAGCACACTGCCACAACTTATGCGCCTCTAATCACACATGGCGCATCTTTCCATTCTGTCATCCCCTTCTCTCTTCACGCACACCCCATGGCTCGTCACTCGAATCTTTTGACACATCCTTGAACCTTCCCTTCCTTGGTCTCACCTTCCCACCTTCCCACCTTCCCACCCTCCCACCTTCCCACCTTCCCACCTTCCCACCTTCCCTCCCGCTTCAACATCCCTCCCACCTTCCCTCCCGCTTCAGCATCCCTCCCACCTTCCCTCCCGCTTCAACATCCCTCCCACCTTCCCTCCCACTTCAACATCCCTCCCACCTTCCCTCCCACCTTCCCTCCCGCTTCAACATCCCTCCCACCTTCCCTCCCCCTTCTCCCCCTCCTCCCACTCTCCCCCCTCCTCCCACTCTTCCCCCTCCTCCTCCCCGCGTCCATCCCAGGAACCTCTCCAACAATCTCCTATCGGGCTCCCTCCCAGCCTCGCTCACCCTTTGCTCCTCCTTCAAGTTATTTCGAGGCGGGCTCCCTCCCAGCCTCGCTCACCCTTTGCTCCTCCCTCCCAGCCTCGCTCAAACGTGCTCCATCCCATCCCCTCGCCCAAACGTCCTCCCACTCTCCCCCCTCCTCCCACTCTCCCCCCTCCTCCCACTCTCCCGCATCCTCCTCCCCGCGTCCATCGCAGGAACCTCTCCAACAATTTCCTCTCGGGGTCACTTCCAGTCTCCCTCTCTCTTTGCGCCTCCAATTACTCCCTGTAAGCTGCTCTGTCCGCTCTGCCCTCTCTGCCCGCTCTGCCCGCTCTGCCCTCTCTGCCCTCTCTACCCTCTCTACCCTCTCTACCCTCTCTACTGTCTCTACCCTCTCTACACTCTCTACCCTCTCTACCCTTTACACACTCTCTCCATACTCTCCCTTCCCCATGGTCCAGCCATTTCAATGTTAACTCAAAGTGTCTTCTGGTGCAACTCATTCATGCCTTTTCGACCCTCACCATGCCATCTCCCCGTTCCCTTTCCCTACTCCTGTCAATCCCGTCTTCCCTGCAACCCTCCCCTACCCTGTTTTTGAGTCGACTAAAAAACATCTCCCCGTTCCCTTTCCCTACTCCTGTCAATCCCATCTTCCCTGCAACCCTCCCCTACCCTCCCACGCTCATCCGCCCTGTAGGGACCTCAGTGCCACCCACCTGCTTCAAAAACAATTCGTATAACCCACTTGTTTATCTCTTCTCCCCACCCGCTCTCCCACACACTCGCTCCCATCCTCCCTACAACCCCTTCTCTCTCATACTCATCCGCCCTGCAGGGACGTGAGTGGCAGCTACTGCAACAACAACCCCACCACACTCATCACCAACCCTCGTGATGTTCTCTGTGTTGCCTCTTATCCTCCTCCATCCCTTCTCCCCTTGCCTCTGCCTACCTCTCTCATCCCCATCCGCCCTACAGGGACGTGAGTGGTAACTATTTCAACAACAACCCCGCCACTCTCATCAGCAGCATGGCCTCGCTCGCCTATCTGAACGTCTGACGTTTTGTCTTCGACGCGCTTCAAGAGTTGGTTCCAGTCTGTACGTATGACTATGGTTGCATGTCACACGATCACACCTCTCCACTTTCCTTGATGAAATGCTGTACCGGATTAGCCTCCGGAAATGCTCTCCCCTCCCCTCCCCTCCCCCACCTCACCCAGCAATTCTCTTGCAGTTTCTCCCGTCCTCCCTCACTCCCTAATCTCTCTCTCACTCCCTACTCTCTCCCTCACTCCCTAATCTCTCCCTCACTCCCCATTCCTTTTCTCACCCACCATTCCCTCCCCATTCCCCCTCCCCATCCCCCCTCCTCTCCCACCCCCCCAGCAACCTATCGCGCAACTACTTCACAGGTCCCCTCCCATCGCTCCCCTCCGCAACATCGGTTCTTTCACTCGACCTCTCCTCCAAAATTTTATTCGGCCTGGGCAACGCTTATGACGCCTCCGTCACCCCCATTTCCCCATCCGAGACCGTCCCTGCCAACATCACCAGCAACTGCCTCTCCTACCTCTCCTACCCCCCTTGCACCGACCCTAGCTACCCCCCGGACCAGCCGCAGTGATCCGTAGCTCAGTGCCAAGCCTTTTGCCGGACCAGTTCCTCAGGTTCGGAGAGCGGGCTCGTGAACGAGCAGTGTGGGTTCGGCGGAGGGGTGTGTATTGCCACGGCAACAGTCTCGGCGGCAGCGGGAACAGCTACAGTGCAGTACAAGTGTAGCTGCAACAATGCGCTGTATACGTTATCTGCTGACGGCTTGACATGCATTCGGAAACGTAAGTTGCTCTGTCAGACTTCTCTTCTTGAGTGATGTTTCACATCGTGTTTCTCTTTTCGAGATTTTTTCCCCCTATTTTCTTATTTGGACCTTCTCATCATCTGAAGTGTGAGTCATGTTTCTGAGAGCCTGACTCGTTCCGTTGCATTGCTCTCACTGCTTTTCTTGCTTGTGCCTCACTTTTCTGTTTACCAAGCATTTTCCCTCTCTTCTTCCCCCTCTCTCCCCTTCCTCTTTCCCGTCGCTTTCCCCTCTCCATCTCTTTCACTCCTCTCCCCCTCCGTTTTGTTTCCTCTTTCCCTCCTCTTTCCCTCCTCTTTCCCTCCTCTTCCCCTCCTCTCCCCCTCCACCCCCATTCCCCTTTCCCCTTGCCAATATGCAGCGGGCCCCCCTCCTCCCTCTCCTCCTCCCCAGCCTCCTTCCCCCCCACCTTCTCCCTCCCCTCCCCCCTCTCCGCCTCCCAACCCGCCTCCCCCACCTCCACCCTCTCCGCCCCCTCCCTCGCCACCACCCCCATCGTCATGGCAAGTCACTCGGTGGGAGTGTATAAACAAGGACCTCCAGGGCACCTGTGCTTGCAGCTGCGTGTTTGGTAACCAATGCTACTGCCCTATCTAGAGCACATGGTAACCAGTGTTACTCGCATGGCAAGTGACTCGGTGGGAGTGTATGAACAAGGACCTTCAGGGCACCTGTGCTTGCAGCTGCGTGTTTGGTAACCAATGCTACTGCCCTATCTAGAGCACATGGTAACTAGTGTTACTGGCATGGCAAGTGACTCGGTGGGAGTTTATGAACAAGGACCTTCAGGGCACCTATGCTTGCGCTGCTTGTTTGGTAACCAGTGTTACTGCCCTATGATAGAGCACATAGTAACCAGTGTCACTGCCCTATCTAGAGCATGTGGTAACCAGTGTTACTGCACCGAACTACAGAATGTGGTAGTAATGAGTGTTACTGCCCGATTTAAAGATTTGATAATGTTAGACATTTAAACAACCAACTGCTACATCTTAGATGACTCCCTAATGCTGCCCATTTTGTTTGTTCGGGTGGCCGTTCACAATAACGATTTCCATGTTAATGAGTATTTACATATTTTCCCTTACACAATTGGTGTGCAAGCATGGCAGAACGGTGTTCGGTGCAGTGGAGTTTATTATAGTGAACCGGTTTAGGGTGGTTAGATCTCGGTTCGGTCTGGTTAGTTTATACAATTCGAATCATACAAGCTGAGCCTGCCAGATACGCGCGATTTCTAAGAACGAGAAAAGGTTGTAGTTCTGTCGCACAAGGACAAAATCGACGTTTTGGATCTTTGGCAAAAAGAGGGTCGTCAGATGGTGAATCTCCTGGGGCTAGAGTTTCAGTCGGCTCACTCGCAAACGGACACGACGACGCAACGATCTCACGAGTCCATCCGAGCCCTGGTGGATTCGAATCCACCAGGTGCCCCTCCTGGTGGAAGTCGTTTCCACCAGGACGCGGAGCCGGCGGAAGCTGTCTGCCCGGGGGCAAAAAAACTATTCCCCATCGCGACCGGCATGCCGTTCGGGAGCCTCAACCCTAAAATTTTAGGGTTGATGCCTCCCGAGCCGCATGCCTTCCGGATGGGTTTTAGTTTTTTTTCTTGCCCGCGGGCAGATCGCTTCCGCGAGCACGCGGAAGCGGTCGCGGATTCGCCCGTGATTTACTGTTCCTGCTCGTATGAACCTTTGAGTCACGTAGGACGTCTAAATTGCCTCCGCCGGCAAGGGTTTGTATGGATGGATGTTGTATGGTCCGAACATACTCTCGAATCGGACGACTGTCACGACACGAACAACCGACGTCGTTGAACGACTTCCTGCCAACCATCCGCCATCCCACATGTGTCCTGAAACCACTCGGCCCTTACGGTATCCTTAAAGCTCGCGTCTCATATTTCTGCCATCCAACCAAGTGTTAAAACCGGGGTTCCAAACAGCACAAAACTGCCTCAACCTTCCTAACTTTGGTTGGAGGTGACCCAGTAGATACTGACTCAGTTCGCATTTTGTCGGGACAAATTTCGCCACGCGAAATTACTGTACTCGCGAACACGAAAGCAGTGTCGAATTCGCACACAGTTTTGAAGCTCACGCGAAACTGTTGCAAACTATTTCGCTAGTTGCTTTCAAGATCTGGCTACACACGCGAGGTACTCAGGCTCTGCGATACCCAACCACAAATCTCGACACGTCCCTGGTTCGCGCGCCACTCACATCCCTTTCCCCAAGCAAGCTTCCTAACTTAGAAACTCTTGGACCCCGGGTTTTAAACGGTTGGAATCCGGTAACAGCAGAGTTTGTCGCAAAGCACACCAAAGCAAGGGGTGGGTTGGGAAAGTTGGCTGTCGCACACTTCCCCGTGCACACCAAGCGTTAACAACTCTCGAAAATATGAGACTCTGAACTCATCGTTGACAGAACCCGGGACCAAACCTGTCCCCCTTGGCTCGTTTTCCACCCAAACCAAGCCACCCTGGTTTGTTTTGGCCTCGACTGTTTGGGAGTTCGCTGTGTTTTTTTCACCCACTCGTCAAATATTTCGTCATTCGTTACCCAATCACAGACGGGAAAACCCAACCAAGTGTTAAAAGGTTGGAAATCTGAGACGCGAGCTTTAATCTCAACCACATCCCTCTTGTCCCCTTCCCAACCATACGCACCAACTTACACTACACATCCTTCTCACCTCATCCTTCGTGTTGCTAGCGGCAGCTCTGACTCAAATTTCCTTGCGTTTCTTTTTACCGGCCTACTATAGTTGTGGCTATCACAAGGGGCAAACCTGACTCTGGCAGAAGCATCATTTTCTTGCCCAGCTTCCTAACTCCACCTTCCACTTGGAAGGTGGCACATCTCCTCGCCCTTCCTCAGCCTTTTCTGGGAGTCCAACTCACCCTTGGTCACTAGTAGTTGGTGCTACCACTATTGCTGCCTCAGTTACAGCTGTGCAGTCCGCCTATCCATCCTCACTGACACTGTCAGCGAACGTCTCCGGCTCGCGTGGCAGCCGCCCTGGCTTCAACGCGGCGGCGGAGCCTCGCCATGCGGCGCTCCACCCTCGCCTGCCCCAGCTCGCCTCCAGCGGCGGCGGCGAGCCGCGAGGGAATGATGGCGCGAGAGCGGCGGGTGCAGCGCGCGCTGGCACTCGCATGCCGCTACCTCGTCGCCCTTCAACTCGTCTCAACCCTCGCCGTGCTCCACGCCCAGCCGCTCCAGCCCTCGCAAGGTAGCGGCGCTCATGATGGCGCGACGACAACGGCCGCATCGGCTTTGCGTAACAACTTGCTTGTCACGCGCTCCTCCCCTCCCACACACCAGCTCCACCACGACTCGCCGTTTCCTCCTCACTCCCACCTCCGCAACACCCCATTTCCACCCGTCCCTCCCCACTCCCTCCCCCCCTCGACCAACCCGCAGTGCAATTCCTGCAGGACTTCCAGACAGCATGGGGTCAGAATTTGGCTGGGTGGGGGGGCTCCGATCCTGACTGCAGCAGTGCAACAGGCGTCACATGCGACAACAGCGGCATGATCAGTGCGATGTGAGCTTCGACCTGCACTCGTGATTCGCGTGTCAGCTTGCACGGCAGCACGGCTCGTCAAGCCGGTTCGGGCTGGCTTGGGACGAGCCGACTTCTATTTGCTCAATGGGGCGAGCCGCGACTCGTTCCATTTGCCATCTAATAGTGGTACCCCTCTGAGGCCATTCCAGTTCAGTGCAATCTCGAAGGCCGTATCACACTTCCAAGCTCTTGATGACTGATGCTGATACCATGTTGCACTTGCGGGGCATGTTTTGGTGCATTTGGATGCAGGCGACTATCGAACCTCAATCTGAGAGGGCCCATTCCGGACTCCATCAGCAACCTCCAGAAGATATCTTCTCTGTACGTCCCTATGATTGCGTTTGGCACGCGAAGCTGCGGGTCTGGAGGGCGGAGAAGAGGTGCGGAAGACTGGGTGAGAGGGGGCTGTACGAGGGTGGACGAAGTTGACGAGTGCAAGTGGAGGGAGTGCCGAAATGGAAGCAGAGAAAGAGAGAGAGGCGTCAGCTGTGGCAGGTGCAGTGAGGGGGAATGTGAATAATAGGGGAGTTGAGAGCTGGGCAGAAGGCAGAGTGAGAGCGTTGGCTGAGAAGAGGAGAGCATGGGAGGTACGAGAGAGGCAACAGATATATAACGCAATTCCTCCTGCTGCCCCTCCCTCACTCCCTGCTTCCTCTTCCATCTACTTCCCTCCTTCCAACGCCATTCCCCTTCCCCTACATCTGCATTGTTTTTGCGTCCAATTTTCCACCGCCTCACACCTCATTCCTTCCATGTCCTCATGATTTTTCATTTCATCCTCTCTCTTCTTCCGTATCCTTTTGTCGCTATCTGGTCTCCACCTCTCTCCTCCCCTCTCTTATGCACTCTTCCCCACGCCCATTTTTTGCGTGGATGACAAGCATCAGCAGGAAAGAGCACCTGTTTCCTCACTTCTTCTGCCCCCGTCTATCCCCAACCATTGCCTGCACACATCCCAGGGACTATGTCCATCGCACTGCCTCGTGCCTTTGTTGTCAATTCTGGATTTCGCATATTTTCCTATCTGCTGCTCGTTTCCATGCAAACCCGAGCTCCCTGTATCTACCTACCACTACCACCTGCCCATTCGTGTTTATTTTCGCAGAGATGTTTCAAACAATTGGATCAATGGCTCAATCCCGGCTAAAATTGGCGACCTTACAAACCTGCATTTCTTGTAAGGCCCTTTCTTTGTTTTGCTCTCCCTTCTGCACTTCTCCTCTCCACAGTTTCTCCACCTCTTGACCCTAGTCCAGACGGGAGAGTGGTGCTTCACTTGAGTCCAGAGCCTGCGATTCGAGTCTCTGCTGTACTCAGATTCTGGGCGGTTGCCAATCTTCAGTTTATTCAGAATTTCTCATAACCTTCCTAACCACTGCTTGCTCGTTTCCATGCAAACGTAAGCTCCTTGTATGTAACGCATGTTCGTGTTTATTATCCCGCAGATCTCTTAGTGCAAACCAGGTCACTAGATCTCTTAGTGCAAACCAGGTCACTGGTTCAATCCCTGTTGCAATCGGCAACCTTACAAAGCTGACTTACTTGTAAGGCCTCTCTGCTGTGTTGCATGCTGCATTCTCTAGCGCTCGTCCCAACTATTTCTCCTCTTGCTTCGTCTACCGCTACTCTTCATTGGACCACTCCATTTTTCCCTCCGTTTTCGTAGTGGGGAAAACGAGTACTTGGCATGGCAGCGAGTAGAATGGGGTGTGAGAGCTGCAGATGGCATGTAGTGCACGAAGAGATGGAGTGCAAAGCCAAGTGGACGGTCAGGGCATACAAGGCAACACCCCGCAATCCCTCCTCTCTTGTCTCCATCGCAAGCCTCTTCTTCTCACCCCTGCATGCACAAGACGGAATGAACAGCTCAGCATGGCCACACGCATGCTCCATGCACGCACGTCCTTGTCTCTCCCCCCTCCCCCCTCCTATATCTCTCTCATCTCTTTCCCTACCAGCCCCTCATGCTCCGCTGCCCTTTCCTCAACTTCTCGTGAAGCCCCCTCCCATGTGCTACAGGTTCCTTAGCAACAATCTCTTGACAGGACCCATCCCTCCATCCATTGGCGCATTTCCAATGCTCCAATGGCTGTCAGTGTTCCTGTGCCTCTGTTTCTCCTCAACGCCCCTGGCCTCCTCACTCATCCTTTCAACGTGTCACGATGTGACTCTTGGTTGACTGTGAATCTGTTCCATACCCCCCATTCACCTGCTAGCATGGACTCTGTGGAGACCTTTGACATCGCTCTCTGCCATTCACAGTAATCCGCTCTTCTCTCACTCCCCTCCCGAGCGTTCTTGACACCAACCATCTGTTCACCTGCACACACGCTCTCACCATACCTTCGGGGTTCGGCTTGGCTTTCCCCGTTTGAGGATCGAGATCGAATCGAGAATTCCGCGATCGAGTTTTTCTTTAGTCCCTTCGATCCTCGAATAAAGAGGCTGAGGACTTGTTTCCTTGATTGAGGAGAGTTTAAATCTGGTCTCCGTTTTGATCCCTCGCGTTTGACCTCCGTTTTGATTCCTCACGTTTCTCTCCCCCCAATTCCCCCTCTTCAGTGATTTCGCACACAACTACCTAACAGGTCCCCATCCCATTGTGAAGGCCCTGGATCTTATGTACCTTGACCTTTCTGACAACTTTTTGTCGGGTCAACTGAGTGTAAAAAACTGTCGGCTCCGCTTTATCGATGTCAACTGCTTCACAGAGCACAAAGACTGCCGTCCTGAGTCCCAGCGACCCGCAGCACAGTGCACAGCGTTTTGTGGCATCTCCAAAACCACTGCTGCATGTGGCGGCCATGGCGTATGCTATCCAGATGGGCCCAGCTTGGTGCCCACGTGCTCGTGTACTTCGGGATGGGTGCAGCTCGAAGGTTCTTGCATTGCAGCAGGTAATAATGTATCTCTAGCTCGCGTTCAGTGTTCATGACTACAATGTGAAAGTAACGCATGGCCACACTGCACTGGCTATACGGATGTTAATTTCTTCCTTTGCCTTGCATTCCCTTTTTAGCCACTTGTTTCACGGCTCCTGCCTGGCGCCACACATCGGGTGCCCCACGCCTCTGCTGCACTCACCCAACTTATTCAGAGAAAATGAGTGCCCCCCTCAAAGGGTTGACCGCACTCACCTTTTGTTTTCCTCCTCTCCTTTCTTCTTCCAAAGCTTCGCTCTGATTGCTCCCCCTCACAACTTCTCAGGCTGGGTCCAAGGAAGCTCCATCCGCATTCTTCTTCCATTCACATCTCTCACCGTGGGCACGAAGCAGCAAACAGTGGGGCGCTTCCTGGCGAAGCCAGTGACCCTGTTTGTGTACCCTCCTGGTGTGAGCTCGCGATGTGGCTTGGAGTTGGCGTTCAGAGTCAACTTCACCTTCGCTATTTTTCCCCAGAATGGTGATGCCAGGTCCAACGGCTTTGCGTTTGTGATCGCAGCAAAGCCCAAGGTGGGGAGACATGGTGGTGTGGGGTATGCTGGAGTAGGGGCTCGGAGCATAGCCATTGCGTTCAACACGCTTCAAAACGACAAGCAGATTGATAGAATGGAGCAGCACGTGGGGCTGAGCATCAACGGCACGGAGGAGCCCTTGGTCACGGAGGTATCACCATTCACTTTCACGGACGGCAAGTTATACAAGGCATGGGTGGACTATGAGCCTGGGGATCCCGGCACCATTCAAGTGTTCCTGGCAGATTCATACACGAAACCAGAGGAGCCGCTGCTGCAGAGGAGGCTGTCGCTGTGTGCGGTGCTGCAGCCTGGAGTGAAGCAGCCGGCGTTCTCGTTTGGCTTCGTGGCGTCCACCACTGTGAAGCCCTTCCAGCATCAAGGCATTCTCATTTCTTCCGTGCAAACAGGCAAGGATATGCCAAGTGGGGTGTTGGCCATGACTGACTGAATGAGGACACGATGTAAGGTACATGGGATGGGTGGTGCTGGTGCCAGCTGGTGCTGCTGATGTATTGGTGGCATTAAGGATGGGGTTTTATGATGGGCAACGCTGGTAATGATACTTTGTCACCAAAGCCAATGGTTTTGTGGCAGACTGGAGCTAGTTTTAGGTATCTGATTGGCGGGATCTCTCATTGCTAGCTCTTCATGTGGTTCTCTCCCTATCTGAAAACTCAACCATCATGGGCTGTTGTGCTTGTGCATTTTTTCTTCTGCCTTTCTCTCCTCATAGACCTTCCTTCAACCAAGTCAGCCCAGATCAAAGAGCAAGGTGAGCACTCTGCCAAAAGTCCAGTAGCAAGGTGTAGAACATCCGCAAGAAGCTGAAGGCTCCGGATGAGGTGCACATGTGTGTCCCAACCGCCATTTGCCAAGTGCTGCACCTAGTTGTCCAGATCGCATGCTTGTCAGACTTTCTTGGGTGCTCCAGTCGGTTCCTCTTCCAGCAAGTGGGACTCACAAGTAGATCGGGCGGCTGACCACCATGACATTTGCAAATTCAGGCCCTGCCGTATCTCTCAACTACTGCTCTCCCCCTATTCCCCTAGCACAGCTCTCTTCTCCTCCACCCATTCCCACCCCTCACAGCCCGAGGCCTCTCATTATCGGAGGCCACGTTTGCCCCACCTCGAAGCAGCCCCTTCTCGCGCTACGTGAGTGCGGACTTCCGACTGTCAAGCACCAAAGTGGACTCGTGGAGCATCCGTGACTTCCACACTTGGGACTCCGTGGGCTTCCTTGCTTGGCCTGTCAAGAACCAGAACGACTGCAGTAAGTGAAAGGAGAAGCGCACGTTCCCATCTCACATCTGACACGCTTTGGCATTGCCTGTAAGAATATGTTTTTTTTTTCTCCTAGTGGCTCATGATTTGTTCAATGTCAGTTGCTCTTATTTTTCTTGTCAGACGATGTTGTAGTTTGCACCGCAGCGTTAATAAAGGCAGCAACTGCCACCGTGCTTTAGTCTCCTCCACTGCCATTACATGCTTCTCTCTTCCGCATCCACTTTTCAGATGCCTGCTGGGCGTATGCGGTGGTGGCGAGTGTGGAGGCCGCATATGGCATTGCAAAGCAGCAGAGCGCTCCGCGGCTGTCAGTGGAGCCCCTCTTTGCGCTCATGGGGCTCTCCGACTCTAACAAGTGCACTGCTGGAGGCTCCCCGACCCAGGCCTTTGAGATGCTGGTCGCTCTTGATGCCAGCAGTGGGCTCACAGGGGACAGTGACCCGGTAGGGCCAACAGAATGGAAAGTTGTTTGTGAGGCGAGATAGAACCAAGAATGTATCATACCAGTTTACATTCTTAAGAAGAATAAATGTAAACACATACTTCGGGGCTATGTGGAAAAAGACGCTCAGGAGGGCGAGCGTCCTGCGTCTGGACGCGTCCAGACGCAGGACGCACGCGAAGACGCAGGACGCTCCGCGGATTTTTTTAGGGTTGCCCGGAAAACAAAATCCGCGAAATCGCCATTTGCGATTTCGACGCTAATGTTAGATTCGCGCAATCGTAACTTTATGGGAGCGATGTCCCCAAGAAAAATCGCAAACGAATGGGAGCGATTCTGCTAATTTTGCAAAGCAAAATCGCTAGCGAACCATTTTTCCCCCAACCTCCACACATCACCGCACTGAATCTTCCCCACCCAACCTTGTCGACCTGAAGAGAATCAAGTCGACATTCATAGCTTTCTCTCCTAGTCGACTTCATTCTCTTTCGAAAACCCTAAATCTCGGTTTTAACTATGTGTGGAAAATTGGTGTTTAGGGAAGGTTTTAAGGATAATCCATGTTCAATGTGGTTTGCAATGTCCCGAAACCCCCTTTCCCCCCCCCTCCTTGACGGGTTTTTTGCCTGCCCGAACGTTTTTTTATCCTGCCCAGCCCTGCGTCTTTTTAGCGTTTTGGGGACCCCTAAAACAGCGTCTTGCGTCTAAGTCATTGCTTTGCAAAATTAGCGTCCAAGACGCAGGACGCGTTTTTTTCCACACAGTTTCAGGTTGCTTGTTTACCTTTCAAGGCTTTAACTTGTTGCTAAAACACTTTAGTCAACGAGCTAGGCAGGTTTGGAGAAAGAAATTCATCTACTTCTATTTCCGGCAGTGCCTTGACTTGACTCGATAAGTTGTTGTTGTTTGTTTGTTTGTTTTTGTTTTTGTTTTGTTTTTTTTTTTTCCTGGTTTATCAATCACCTTATCACGTCTTCTTTGATCCTCCTCAGAAGGGACATGTCTTAAGTTTTCTACCCTTTTTTCCCTTCCTTACTTGCTTAACTAAAAAAAAAAAACCCCTCTGTTCCCCCCTTTCCAAGTCGCCCCACTGCCGCTCCCACCCTCACCCCACCCACAAACAACCAAACCCCTCCTTTTCTCCACCAATGCTGCAATCTCGTGGCCAGGCAACAAGGTACCCGGTGCGGGCCTTTGAGTGGGCGCAGTTCAAGGGGTATGTGGGGCTCATGCTGGCAGTGCAGCGCCAGCCAGTGGTGGTTCACATCGAGGCGTCTGCTGCCACATTTATTATGTATGATGGGGTGAGTGAGCCATTGCAACTCTCACCCAGTATGGTGCGTTGTGGATGGCCAACATAGAGATCTCACATGCATTTCCACAAGTAACTCACATATTGGCAACGGCCAGCATTGTCGAGTGGTGCTTGCAACCCTTCTATTTCGACTATATGCCTGACTGATTCTTTATGGATGATCTGTCCTCACTTTGCTGCAGTCTTACAAATACCAGGATCCTATTTGCTACACGGGCAGTCTCAACCATGTTGTACTCGTTATTGGCTACTTCATCACAAGAAACGATGGCAGCCAGAAACGAATTGCTCCTCCGTTTTGGATCATCCGCAACTCATGGGGAGAGGAGTGGGGCGGCAGAGGCCACATGCGCATGGACATTCAGGGAGGGGATGGCGTGTGTGGCATCAATGCGCTGCCTGGGATCTACCCCATTGTCAAGAGTGAGCATTTTCAACTCCGTTGTCAAGAGTGAGCATTTTCAACTCTGTTGTCAAGAGTGAGCATTATCTACTCTGGTGTCAAGAGTGAGCATTTTCAACTCTGTTGTCAAGAGTGAGCATTTTCAACTCTGTTGTCAAGAGTGAGCATTATCTACCCCGTTGTCAAGAGTGAGCCGTATCTACCCCGTTGCCAAGAGTGAGCCGTATCTACCTCGTTGTCAAGAGTGAGCATTATCTACCCCATTGTCAAGAGTGAGCATTATCTACTCCGTTGTCAAGAGTGAGCATTATCTACTCCGTTGTCAAGAGTGAGCATTTTCAACTCTGTTGTCAAGAGTGAGCATTTTCAACTCCGTTGTCAAGAGCTGTGTTGCAGAACACGCACGGCGCGTCCTGCGTCCTGCGTCTGGACGCAGCGTCCAGACGCAGGACGCAAAACGCACATTTAGACGCAGGACGCATGGGGTGTTTTTTTTCGGTCTGACCGAAAAAAAAACTTTTTTGCCCGCGCGCGACTTTGACATTCGCCATTTCGACGCCAATGTCGAAATCGCGATTTCCCCCCCCCCCCCCCCCAAAAGGAAATCGACCGTCAAAACCAGCCCAAAACCCAAAAACGGAAACCCCTCCTACCAAAATTTACGCTACATCCTACTCAACCGCACAATATCTACTCAACCCAACCACAATTGCATACCACCAAGAGTATATTGGAGCACAAGTGCTTCATTTGTGCTCCTCCACTCTAGTTCAACCTAATTCTCCTTGGAAAACCCTAAGGGGTTTAGGATGAAATGTGAACTATGTACCCCCCCCCCCCCCCCCCCCCCCCCCCCCCCCCCCCCCCCCCCCCCGGCCCCTATTGGGTTTTTTTTGGGCCTGCCCGAACGTTTTTTTGGTCTGCCCGGGCTTTGCGTCTGTATCTGCGTCTAAAAAGTAAAAAAAAGCGTCTTGCGTCCTGGACGCAGCGTCTAGACGCACTGCGTCCAGGACGCAGGACGCGTCTTCAGGAACACAGGTCAAGAGTGAGCATTATCTACCCCGTTGTCATGAGTGAGCATTATCTACCCCATTGTAATAAAGACCTAAGTTGGAATATACGAAACTCTGAATTTGCGTTTTGCGTTTATATCGAATTCGTATTCTAGCTATTCATTCTCTCGATATTCGTATTCTAAGTTGTTCACTCGATATTCATTCTCTCGCTTCCTATTCTAGCTACCTCCCCTCCCAAGCCACCATGGATGCTACTCCTACAGCAACAAGTTCTCGTTCTCCACCCTCAGAGGCTCCTGGTAGTTCCGCTGGACGGACCTCTTCTGTTATGGCTTTGGTCTGCATGGACAGCAAGCATGCTGTCTACCGCCACTTCAAGGTGGCTTTCGAGAGCGTTAGCGAGAACGGCACCAAGAGGTGTGCCTACTGCAACTTCAAGTTCGTTGGCGGGATGTACCGCTGCGCGCAGCATATCACCAGCTGGAACGGCATGCGCCGTCGTGAAGTGCATCTCTGCACTGAAGCGCCGAAGACTGCACGGGACGCCGTGAAGGCGGTTTACGAGTTCAGGTTGAAGGCCCGTGAAGCGAAGCGTGCGGCTGAAATTGCGGCGGTCGGCGCAGTCAACGGCGGTGGTTCCGACAAGAAGAAGACTCGAATGACCGACTTCTACGGCGACGAAGCCGCGTGCGCGAAGCAAGCTGCGGACGAGGCGCTTTGCCTCCTCTTTGCCGCTCTTCATATCTCGGAGCATCCGCTCTGGCGGAACGCAGTCTCCAGCATCGCGCGCGCGGGGACGGGTTACGTGCCGCCGAAGAGACACTATATCGGTGGGGCCGGTCTTGCAAGGTGTCGCCAGCGCATTGAGGCGGCTCTCGGTCCGATCGCTGCAAGCTGGCGCCGTGACAGTGTCACCATTGCAAGCGACATGTTCTCTGACACGGCCGTCCGCCCGCAAGCCAATGTGCTCCTCATCAACGATAGCGGAGCCGTGTTTGTGGAGTCGATCGACACCAAGATGGAGATCAAGACCGGCGGCTACATCGCGGGCATCTTGCGGCCCATCATCGAGAAGGTTGGCCCCGAGAACGTCGTCGCCGTGTTTTGACGGCGGGTCCAACTACGCGGCGGCGTGCAGGGAGTTGATGACGGAGTTTCCCCACATCGAACACGTCCCTTGCGCCACCCATGTCCTTGATCTCCTGCTGGAGGACATTGGGAAAATGGGATGGGCGAAGGACATCGTCACGCGCGGTGGTGAGATGATATCGTTCGTCCGCAACCATCACTTCACCCGTGGATACATGCGGAGAGAGCTCGTGAACGGCGGCAAGGGGAAGCAGGTTTTCAAGCCCGCGGGAACTCGATTCGGCACCAACTACATTGCCATTAACCGCCTCTGTGAAGTGCGTGCCGGCCTGCCTAGTTTTGTTGAAGTAGAAGGCCTAATCTAGTGGACTGGCAAGAAAATGGTACTAACTGCATCTCTACAAACCTAAGTAATGCGCTGGTCAGTTTGGCCGGTATGCGCGCCTGTACTTCAGGTACCATGCACGACTGGAATGCCTATATCTGCCGAATTACATGGATCCAAATTGTTAAAACCTGGTAGTGGGGTGGGAGATGGTATAAGTTAGTGAAAAAGGAAAAAGTGTATGGTACTCACTGTATTTCTACAGAGAAAATGATGCGTTGGTCTGTTCGGTCAGTATGCACGCTTTAGTGCAGGTACAAGGCGGAGCTGGAACTCTGAAATCTCTCAAATTATGTGGATCCAAATGGTTAGAACCTAGTGTTGTTGAAGTAGAAGGCATAATCTAGTGGACTGGCAAGAAAATGGTACTTACTGCATCTCTACAAACATAAGTAATGCACTGGTCAGTTTGGTCGGTATGCGCGCCTGTAGTGCAGGTACCATGCACGACTGGAATGCCTATATCTGGCGAATTACATAGATCCAATTATTAGATCCTGGTAGGGAGGTGGGAATTGATATAATTTAGTGGAAAAGCAAAAGATATATGGTACTCACTGTATATATACAGAGAAAATGATGCGTTGGTCGATTCGGTCAGTATGCAAGCTTGTGTGCAGGTACAAGGCGGAGCTAGAACTCTGAAATCTCCCAAGTTATGTGGATCCAAATGGTTAGAACTTAGTTTTGTTGAAGTAGAAGGCCCAATCTAGTGAACTGGCAAGAAAATGGTACTAACTGCATCTCTACAAAGATAAGTAATGCGCTGGTCAGTTTGGTCGGTATGAGCGCCTGTAGTGCAGGTACCATGCACGACTAGAATGTCTATATCTGCCAAATTACATAGATCCAAATGGTTAGAACCTGATAGGGGGGTGCGAAATGGTATGATTTATTGGAAAAGCAAAAGATATATGGTACTCAGTGTATATATATAGAGAAAATGATGCGTTGGTCGGTTCGGTCAGTATGCACGCTTGTGTGCAGGTACAAGGCGGAGCTGGAACTCTGAAATCTTTCAAGTTATGTGGATCCAAATGAATAGAACCTAGTTTTGTTGAAGTAGAAGGCCTAATCTAGTGGACTGGCAAAATATGGTACTAACTGCATCTCTACAAACATAAGTAATGCGCTGGTCAGTTTGGTTGGTATGCGCGCCTGTACTGCAGGTACCGTGCACGACTGGAATGCCTATATCTGCCGAATTACATGGATCCAAACCTGGTAGTGGGGTGGGAGATGGTATAATGTAGTGGAAAAAGGAAAAAATGTATGGTACTAACTGTATTTATACATAGAAAATGATGCGTTGGTCTGTTCAGTCAGTATGCACGCTTTTGTGCAGGTACAAGGCGGAGCTGGAACTCTGAAATCTCTCAAATTATGTGGATCCAAATGGTTAGAACCTAGTGTTGTTGAAGTAGAAGGCCTAATCTAGTGGACTGGCAAGAAAATGGTACTAACTGCATCTCTACAAACATACATAATGCGCTGGTCAGTTTGGTCGGTATGAGCGCCTGTAGTGCAGGTACCATGCACGACTGGAGTGCCTATGTCTGCCGAATTATATGGATCCAAATTGTTAAATCCTGGTAGTGGGGTGGGAGATGGTATAATGTAGTGGAAAAGGAAAAAAATATTTGGTACTCACTGTATTTATATAGAGGAAATGATGCGTTGGTCGGTTTGGTCAGTATGCACGCTTCTGTGCAGGTACAAGACGGAGCTGGAACTCTGAAATCTCCCAAATTATGTGGATCCAAATGGTTAGAACCAAGTATTGTTGAAGTAGAAGGCCTATTCTAATGGACTGACAAAATCAGGCTCGTTGCTCGAGCCCATCTCCCCAAGCCCGTCAACTCAACCTCACTCGCTCTCAGACTCGTGTGCTCGAGCCCATCTCCCCAAGCCCATCAGCTCAACCTCATTCGCTCTCAGACTCGTGTGCTCGAGCCCATCTCCCCAAGCCCGTCGGCTCAACCTCATTCGCTCTCAGACTCGTGTGCTCGAGCCCATCTCCCAAGCCCGTCAGCTCAACCTCGGTACTAACTGCATCTCTACAAACATAAGTAATGCGCTGGTCAGTTTGGTCAGTATGCGCGCCTGTAGTGCATGTACCATGCATATCTGAATGCCTGTATCTGCCGAATTACATAGATCCAAATGGTTAGAACCTGGTAGGGAGGTGGGAAATTGTATAATTTAGTGGAAAAGGAAAAAAAGAATGTATGGTACTCACTGTATTTATACAGAGAAAATGATGCGTTGGTCTGTTCAGTCAGTATGCACGCTTTTGTGCAGGTACAAGGCGGAGCTGGAACTCTGAAATCTTTCAAATTATGTGGATCCAAATGGTTAGAACCTAGTGTTGTTGAAGTAGAAGGCATAATCTAGTGGACTGGCAAGAAAATGGTTCTTACTGCATCTCTACAAACATAAGTAATGCACTGGTCAGTTTGGTCGGTATGCGCGCCTGTAGTGCAGGTACCATGCACGACTGGAATGCCTATATCTGGCGAATTACATAGATCCTGGTAGGGAGGTGGGAATTGGTATAATTTAGTGGAAAAGGAAAAAATGTATGGTACTCACTGTATTTATACAGAGAAAACGATGCGTTGGTCTGTTCAGTCAGTATGCACGCTTTTGTGCTGATACAAGGCGGAGCTGGAACTCTGAAAAATCCCAAATTATGTGGATCCAAATGGTTAGAACTTAGTGTTGTTGAAGTAGAAGGCCTAATCTAGTGGACTGGCAAGAAAATGGTACTAACTGCATCTCTACATACATAGATAATGCGCTGGTCAGTTTGGTCAATATGCGCGCCTGTAGTGCAGGTACCATGCATGACTGGAATGCCTATATCTGCCGAATTACATAGATCCAAATGGTTAGATCTGTTGGGTGCAAATATTTTTTTTTGCACGTCAAGCAGCCGCCTGCATCGCATTTTGCATTTTGTGTGTGCGCGCATTTTCATTTTCATTTTGTGATGTTCAGTGCGCATTTGTTCTTGCATTTTGTGTGTGTCGTTTTCATTCGTAATTGCATTTTGTGTTTGTGCATTTTCAGTTTCGTTTTCACTGTTCTCATGAAGCGCTCAAATGAGGCTCACATGATGCGCTCAAATGAGACTCCCACGAAGTCTCAAATGAGGCCCTCATGAAACTCAAATGAGTTCCCATGAAAGTCACATGAGAAATATTTCATGCGAGGCTTATATTGGCGAGCTTCGAATGATTTATGCGAGGCTCATTGAAGTTGTTGGGTGCAAATTGTAATTTGCACGTCAACCTGTCGCCTATTCGTCGAGCAATGTGAAACTTGAGGGATTTTGTTTTAAGGTAATTTGTGGTGTGTGTGATGCGCATTTGTGTGCTTGTCATTTGTGTGTTTACGGTTTGTGAATCGCCTTAGCGGTTCATAAGTTATGTGCGTTTTTTGTTATGTTGCATTCATGAATGTCCATGACTGTTCGTGTGCGTTTCGTGTGTGCATGCGAGGAGTTCCGAGTTTTCATGTGTCTTCGTGTTGTTTCATGAATGTGCGCGGATTCGAGTGTTCATGTTTGTTCATGGATCTTCGCGGGTTGTTCATGAGTGTTCGTAAGGTGTTCGTGTACGTTCATGAGTGATCATGTACGATCGTGTTCGTTCATGACTGCTTGTATTTTCTGTCATGATTTTTCATGTGTGTTCATGAGGGGAAAGCGAGTGTTTTCACTTTTGAGATATTTCGCGTGGTCAAGGTAAGAATGGGCGCGAGAATCTGGACCGCGCGTGTAGCCCAGATCTCGCGTGTGGCCACACAAGGGTCGCGCGTGTGCTTTGGCACTGTTGCACGCGTGGCAAGGCCTATGATCGCATGGGACAGCGCACGTTCGCATGCTGTACAGCATGACCGAAATATCGGTCGTGCATGATTGCGCACCTGAGGGGTGCGCGTGTGTTTCAGGGGGTGCCGCGGGATCCTGAGGGGTGCTCGGGATTTGACTCGAAATTTCAGTTGAATAACTGAAATTCGAGTCTTGTATTTTGTGACGTGGCACAAGGACATTTCGCCAGAAGCTGCGCATTTAAAGGTAACAGTTTAGCTACAGGTACGAAACGGTGAAAAACCGTTTTACAGCTGTACAGTTTCGGGAAAACGGTAATCCCACACGAGGGAACATGATTCTACATGTGCGTTCATGATCGCTCGCGAGAGGTGTCAGCAGGGGCGTTTGGACGAAGTTCAAATTGGATGTCGTTTTTCTACAGAGGCGGATCAAGCCAAACGCAGCAGCTGTTGGATAACCATTTTCACATGCAGGCTTGGCGAAGTCCTGGAAATGCAGTTTATCAACTGTTTGGTAGTTTCCTTTGTGTGTGTGCTAGGCGAAATATATATGCGTGCTTATGCTTGGTTGTAATCAACACTTTCTGAATGACAATTGCTCTATCATCGTATTGACGTGAAGAGCTACTTCTGCACACGAGCCAATCCGTCGTCCAACGATGCGCGAATGAGTTTGGGAGCGTTCTAGTGCACGCGATTGGATTTACACTTAGTGCATCCCTCGACAAACACGGACCCTTGGTTAGGGGCTGGCTTTGCCAGGCACCCGAGGACCCTTGGAGGTGACCCCGTGGGGA